CAGGGCATGGGGGTGGGGGCGGTGGGGGCATGTGAGGAGGGTGCAGGAGTCAGGGCAGGAGGCTGGGTGTGAGGGGGGGTCAGGGCAGAGGGCTGGGGTGTGGGCTGGGGTCGTGCGGGTGCTTCCAGCCCCCTGCCCTGAGTGGCTCATGGCAGGGGGCTGGAGGGTTATGCCTTGATTCCACCCCCTTCCCCAAGGCCCTGTCCCCACCCCTTCTCCGCCTCCTCCCTGGAGCAGCGAGTGTGCTGCAGCTCTGCTTCTCCCACTCCCGTACAAGGGCCATCAGCTGATCGGCTGCAGGGAGGGAGAGGAGGAGGGTCAGGAACCCCTCACGCTGGGGGAAGAGGCAGGGGAGGGGGGAGCTTGCCTGCCCTGCAGCAGCAGCCAGCAGGATCAAGCTTCTTCACCCTGCCCCAGACTTTTTAATGGCACGCTGCTGCCTCCGGGGGTCCCGGTCTGGGTTTGGCAGTGGGCTGAGCGGGGCTGGTGGCTGGGACCCGGCAGGCAGCAGCATGCCATTAAAAATCATCTCGTGTGCCGTAGGTTGCCGACCCCGATCTAGAGGAAGGGAGCAGAAAGAGAGAACCCCGAAAGTGAAGGAATAAAGGGTTGGAATCCCAAAAGGCAGACAACAGGGCAGAGGGACAGAGGATTCGGGATAGGCTACTCTCATTTGGCCCTTGCACTGCATGAGCTTGGCATTCAGTGCTGCTTTTGGTCCTTTAGTACTCTCCCACTTTCCCAGCCACTCCATCTTTAAACAAGTTTATATAAGGCAGAGAGGGGTAAAGCACAGCTTAAATGTCTCTTCAAATAAATTTAAAAAACTCTTTAAAGCATTTGATCAGCCAGATCTTAATTGATTCATCAATAGCTTCTGGCTTATGCTCAGTTAAGCTGTAATCAGTAGTTCATGAACTGCTGTAACGTATTTTGTTGACTGTTCCTCAAACAGACGTGAGTTCCACGTTCTCCAAGTAGAGACAGTCAATGTCACAAGCCCATTTAAAAAGCAATTGCAGAAATGCCTTTTTCCCGGGCTCTCAATAGCAGGATGTGAGACTCCTGTGTGTGTGTGCGCGCACGCTGGGTGAATAGCTGAAATGAGACCTGTCTCTCAGAAACCTGTTGCCCTTGCTTCTGTTTTGCATATTTTTCAGTGCTGTCATGAAGTACCACTGAGAGTGATCTAGGACAGTGGTTCTCAAACTGAGTTGGTTTTAATGGGGTCACCTAGGCAAAGACAAATAATAATAAAAGTAGTTCTGTTAAATTACAGCTATTTTATTTTATAATGCGTCATTTCCTCTTCTCAGGCACATGCCTGTTGGAGCTGTCTGAAATAGTTACCTAGCAACCTACTTAGCACCTTGTGGTTAAAGCCAGTTTTAAAAGTTGTGGTCGAAATAAGTTTAGCAATGGCCCATTTTCTGAAGAAATGTAGTGTAATGAAGAGGGGTCGATTGCCACGTGTGGCAAAAGAAGGGCTGACCATGAGGATCTAAGCAACAGTTAAAAAAAAACAACCCAAGAAACCACAAATACAATTTGGAATATGGATTTACAGAGACTGGTTTTGAGGAGGGCCTGTGGCCATAGCATGTGGTGAAGTACTGGCAAAGGGAGAGCTTAAAACCATCAAAGATGTTGTGGCACTTGAAGACACGGCACAGCTCTCTTCAAACAAAACCAGTCGATTTTTTTTTTCCAGTGACAGCTGAGAGCTAAAGGGCCAGAAAACAGTACTGAAAATGGCGGCTCCAGCCCATGAGTAAGGCTGTGAGTCTGTCACAGAAGTCATGGATTTCCTCCAGGACCTCACTGACTTTTGCAGCAGCTGGTGTGGCTGATCCCAGCTCTGATCCCTAGCCCTGAGGCCAGCTGCACTGGCTGCTGTTTGGGTAGCCCCAGGACCAGCTGGCCCTGGGGGCTGCCCAAGCAGCAACCAGTATGGCTGGCCCCGGAGCAGCAGTGGCCCCGGGGCAGTCCTGGAGGCCGTCAGAGCAGCAATTTCCCCAGGGGCCTTGGAGCAGCGGGTGGCTGGGGACAGTCAGCTCCTGCTGCTAGAGCAGGGGCCAGCTGTCGGCTCCTGGTAGCTGCTCCTGGGGCCCTAGTGCAAGATTTAGTCAGGGTGCAGAATTCATGTCACCCACAGATTTCTTTGTTTCCCTGCAGAAAAATGACTTTCTGACAGGGAAGCAAAGGAAAGCTGCAAGATCAGTCATGCACTGTTCCCTAGCTATGCAGGTGCAATGTTTCAGGCACCCAGAGCAGCTGGCTGAGCGATAAATCACCACAGGGCTGGGGACACCCCAGCCAGTGGCTCCTACCTTCAGCCAGGATCAGCTACTAGTCCTGGCTGGGCTGGAGGCAGGAGAGGATGGGACTTCCTCTTCCAGCACAAGGAGTGGCTTGGGCTGTGTCAGACCTTCCCCCAGAAACATCTCCCAGCTGCAGAAAGCTCAGCATCCTCCTCTGCTTCCTGCTCCTATCGCTCCTCAGCTCCAGGGGAGGAGAGGTCACTGGTATGGGGGAGCCCAACTGCCCAACCCCCATGCATCCAGACCTCCCATACTCTGACACCCCCGCCAAGCCTCACCTCATACACCAAGAACCTCCCTAGCCCTCCATACCCAAACTACAACCCATTGAATCTCAACCCCTGCATCTGGAGCCCCCTACACCCTGACCACCCCACACTGAGCTCCTTGCACTCAAACCCCCACCCTGATGAGCCCCATCCTTGCACCACCCTGAGCCCCCACATCCAGACCCCACACCACTGACCCCCCGCTAGCTGCACCCAGACCTGTCTCCTGAGCTCCAACCACTTTCACCTGGAAGCCCCTGCACCTGGAACCCCCTGATGAGCCTCGTTGCATCCAGATCCTCTCCCAAACCTAGACCCCCCCTCACTGAGCTGTCTGCAACTACACTGTCCCACATAGAACCATCTCACCCTACACCTGGATCCCTCCACCCTGAGCCTCTCCACACTTGGATGCTGCCTGCCCTGCTCCTGGTGCAGAGGGGCAGGGCCCCAGGATGTTTCTGGGCAGACTCAGGCCTTGTGCTGTGTCAGAGTCAGGTACAGCCTCACCACTGAGTCTGTGTCCCGGGGGTGGGGAAGCTACAGGATGTTCTCTCACTTTCATGGAGCCAGTGGCCTGTGCTCCCCACTGCCATGCTGGAGGCTCTGCATTTATTTATTGACAAATAAAATTTGCAGAATATTGCAGACTTTTTAATTTTTTTGATGCAGAATGCCCTCAGGAGTATTCCATGTACCAAGGAAATGGATTTGATTATGTTGGGGCAAGGTCCAGGAACTCTACTTGATTCGATTCCTGTATCTAACGACCCTTTTGCCAAGGGTATTCACAGTATGGCAAATGACGTGACTGAACAAGTCATCACCAAAATCAAGCAAAGTCCTTTTCCGCCCGTCCCATTCAACTTGACAAAATGACAAATGTGTTGGGTGCTGCTCAGATGCTGACATGTAAAATTCCAAGAGGAATATCTGTTGTGCTGGCCATTCCAAAAGTGCAGAGAGCTGTGGTAAGCTTTTTTTCCCGCTCATTCTGGCTTGAAATGGCAGTGCTGTGTAGAAATTTGCATTAATGGTGCTCATGCAATGACTGGAAAAAAAACAGTGGGCTAGTCACCCGAGTGCAGGCTGTTGCACCACAAGCAGTTTGGACTCATGGTATTCTACACAGGCAAGCTCTAGTTGTACCAAAAAAAGGGGGGGGCACCCATTCACACAGTCATCTTCATCAAGTGTAGCTCAACAAGTGTGTCTGTTTGGAGTTTTGTGTGATGATATGGGAGCTGAACACCATCACTTTACCACACAAGTTTGTTGGTTGTCTCCAGGAAAGGTTCTCAATCGTTTGTTTGAGCTCGGAGAGGAAGTGAGAATTTTTCTTTCAGACAAAGATTCCCTGCTGGCGGAAGTTTGCAGATACCAAGTGGCTTGCTTTGCTAGCTTACTTGGCAGACATTTTTGAATGTCTAAATGTTTTAAATACTTTCAAGGGCAAGACACTTCTATCTTTTCTGTCACTGACAAAATTTAAAGTTGGATCAATAAACTTTTTGTGGTATGCTCGTGTGGACATTGGCAATTTTGAAGCATTTTTTTTTTTAAAACTGGTTGTATTTTTGAATGAAAATGTCTTGCCCGAAGCACGACTTGTAGGCCATTATCATCAGCCACCTGGAAAGCCTTAAACTGCAGTTTTGGAAGCATTTCCTGAAGAGGATCGGAAAACAGTGGCGTGGATTGGAAATCCCTTTAATGCAGAACGACTGCAAATGCTGTTATGGCACTTACAGCAGACATGCCAAACCTGCTAAAAAAACACAGAAATTGGGCTTTTTTTTGGGCTTGTGAGTTGCTTGTTGGCTAGTTTTTGGCTTGTAGCTTGTTTGGCTTGTAGTTTGTTGCTTTTTTTTTTTTTTTAATTGGCTCCCGGTAAGCGGGAGCAAGCAGGGACAAGGCAGAGGGAGAGTCGGGGTGCACAGCGGACCCATCACAGTTCCAGACTGCACGCCGTGGGGAACTAATCACATAGAGTGTTGGGGTTCTTAGGGATTGGCTTATTTTGGCCTTGTTTTGAAAGGGATTAGCTTGATTTTTGGCTTATTGTGACCGTCAGAGTGCTTATTTACCGCATGAAAGTTGGCAACTCCAACTTACAGTGAAAAAAATATTAATGGATGTGACACTGATGCTGAGATTTTTCTGAACAACTTCTTGCTAACTTCTGGATTTGTGTGTGAGAAGTATATACAGAGCTGTCGTCTGCAGCACTGACCACTCATGCCACCTGTGTGAAGCTAGCTTTTCAGCACTGACTTTCCTGAAAAACGCATACAATCACTGATGAAGATGACAAGTCTTTACCTCAGTCACAGAGAGCCCCACTTCAAGGATTTGTGTTCATCAATACAAGCTCACCACTCCCATTAGGTACATATTTATTTTATTTTATTTTTTTAATTTATTTTACCGCTGGGATAGAAAGATTGTCTTGCAATTGTATTGTGAGTTTAAATATTTAGTGGATAGTTTTTTGTAGATACATCCTTTTAATGCATTTTTAAATTTAAAATATTAACTCTTCTAGAGTAATACAGGGCCCTGGGGTCGTGTAGTACTTTTTGTTGTCAGAAGTGGATCTCAGTGCAATGAAGTTTGAGAACTGTTGATTTAGAAATGATGCTCCTTTAGATCATGTCCGTCCATCTAGGAGCAAGAGCAGCTTTTGAGTGGGATGTAAAAAGAGTAGATACAGAGTAAAAATGTAAGCTAAACTTCCCAGGATATAGAGCCAGGCAGGAATAGGAAGCCAGTCAACAGAAAAAAATTTGACTTACAGCAGGACTTTCTGATAGGGAACTTAATTACCATTCATAATCCAGAGGGTCAAGGATATATTAGTAAAACTAGTTTTTTGTGAGTTGAAAATGAGCAATTTTCTAGCAATTTTTTCTGAATAAACAGTGCTGCTTTCTGTACTGCTCCTTACTGAGATTTATTAAACCCCCATTTTATTTTTGATCACTTCACATTTGCACACACCTCTGGGATACAATTACAAATGGGCATTAAGGAAAGGAGAGTGGTGTGTGTGTGTGTGTGTTTTTTTTTCTCAATCACAGAAAAGATGCATTGTGTTAAGAACACAATAATCTCTGGTTATTCCACAGTTCAGGCTCCAGTAACTGATGTGCATTCAGTAACTGCAGGTTATTAGTGCACTTTTTCAACTGAGAAAAAACAAAATAAACACAATATTTAATGCACAGTATGAGTGGAAGTCATGGAGTTTTAGACCTTGATGTCACTGTTCCAAAACAGTGGGTGTTTTTTTGTTTTTTTTTAAATTTAGTTTAATGAAATAAACATTACTTCGAAGGAATTTCTTCTGTTTAAGCCCAGTCTGGGGATGCAATTAAAGAAAAAGGCAACTGTTATATTATACATATACTGTGGTGGTAGTTATATCAACAGCATATTAATGGCTATAGAAAACTAATAGTTTACTCACAACATTTTGAGAAAATTGAATTCCTAAGAAAAAAACAAATAGAGGTACTGTAGGCACATCAGTTTACTGTATGTTACTTCAGGAGGAAAAAGGCACAAATCAGATGCACACAATGTATATAAATAAATTAAAGAGGAAAAAGAGAGAGACTTACAGAACAAATGGCTGCTATGCAGACAATGGCAAGCATACAGCCGAAGAACTACAAAGAACATTGCTGCGTTCCTCTTCCATTTCTTCAGCATGATGCTTTGTCTTTCTGTACAGTACTGTAAAATAGAAACTTAAAGGAACACTGCAAGTTAAATCGCACTTCTAAATATTTACTTAAGTTTACTACAACTGAAGGAGCTGAGAGGAAAAATATTTTTCTCCACTATATTGTAGAATCAGTTCCATGTTTCCCTCTACATAGTTAATTTCCTCTTAATGTGGGTCTTTCACATTGCAAAGAGGAAAACAAAAAACGTAAAAAATCGAACAGGTCTTTGTAAAATCTCAACTGGTAGAGGGTCTTGGAGGTAGGTGTGGTTTCTGAAACTAATTTTAAATTTATTTTACAATAATTGAGATGTCAAATAAAATTTTCAAAGGCACTTAAGTTCCATTTTCAAAGGTAACTTAGGCTCCCAAATAATATTAAATCAATGGGGCTTAGGCTCCTAACTCACTTAGGTGCTTTTGAAAATTGTACCCGTTGTTGATTGTCCCTTCGAACATATAACCTGATTTCATAGGTTAGTGCATTAGAGTTATATCTATTTGCCATAGCTATTTCTTTATTAGGAATCATGAACTCTGCATTATATCTTGATTCATACCTTTGGATGCATTGTTTATCTTTGTACCATTGTTCCTTTCTGATCTATTAATTTAGAAGAGCTCTCATGTATTTCAGTGTGTGTAATATAACTAAGGGTATGGAAAATTTCTGAAGAGGTTTCACTGCTCTGTACAGAGCTGGTCCAGTGATATAAAAAGTGATTTTGAGAATATTTTTATCAACAAAGTTTGACACATTCATTTGGCTACCAGTCTTTGGATCAGTCATGAGTATCCAGATAACAATCATTTTTTTCATTAATTTTTAGCTTGAACCATAACTCATCTATAAATGTGTTCCACAAGAATGTTGTTCCATATTCTCTGTTCACTGTTTGCTATTCTTCATTATAAAGTCTATCATTCACTCGGAGCAGAAATAGTATGTGACTCAGACAACCAATCACACACTACAAGTGCTAAATAACCAATACTGAATGGTCAATCTGAAGAGTTTGTGAACAATCCATAAACTGAATTTTATTTGACCTTGACAAATACTTATGAATAACCAATAGAGCTGCAGAATTCATGATGAATTTGCAAATATGTGAACAGAAAAAATGAGCTAAGTTCCTCATAACTTACTCGCAATGAATAACTCAATTAGCTCCAGTATTGTGATAGTTTATACTGATTATTATACAGTGTGAAGGAACTTCTAATGTTTTTATGGTATGGCTGAGGGGGTGAGAGATATTCTCTACATAGTCATAATTGTATTCCTGTTATGTATTAACACCTTAAAAGAATAGAGAGAAGAGATTAACTACGACTAATATGCTGAAACAGAGGAAAAGAAAATTGAGCATGAATATCTGGAAACAGATATTCGTAACAGTGAGTTCTATTAAACTGCTGAATAGTTTTCCCAGGGATGTGGTGGAAGTGCCATCACTTACATGGCTTGAAATTAGACTGGGCCAATAGCTCACCCATTGCAAGGGACAAAACTGCATTGGCAGAAGGGATCTGTCCAAATAGGTCATTATCAGTCTTTAAATGTTGGAAAATCTGAAAATACAATCTCCCACCCCTTTGATCAAACATTGTAGGTGTTTGTCCTTTTCTGATTTCTGTTCCTATACTGGCAGCAGCTTGTTTAGCTTACTGGCAATATTAGTGTTGTTGCATTCATAAAGATTAAAGGTTAGAAGTGCTGCAGTATTCTGTGCGAAGGTGAAGATTTTAAATGGTAGAGCTATTAAAAGAAACAGCTCCTTATAGCTTTGTGATACAAGATTAGTTCATGTTAAGGTATGTTACATGTAGCTTTTACCCTGCATATTTTATTAGTAGCGGTTCACCACCATAACAGTGTGTATAGAGAAAAAGCTGCTCCTTCACTCATATTTTACCAGAAGAAAGGGATGAGATCATATTGGGAAATACTAAGTACTGTAGCATGACTGAAACATTTGGGATTATTCTATAGAGCAGTAACAAAATTATCATTGAAAACAACCATGTAACTCTTTGAAAAGAGTGTTTCATCAGAGATTAACTGTATTGACAGCTTCTGTGATTCAACAAGCATTTTTCTATGAGATAAAGCCCCCATAAATTTTCAGATATTGCCAGATTGCTACTAGAAAAATGGTTGGCAATAAATAGACTCATTTTCTAAGTCTGAGTGGCAATTTTCCCATTACTCTGCCATATGGATCAAGTACTTGCTGTCTTATATTATGCTGGCTGTAAGAAAGCAGCATTTGAACCAAGATTAATGAAATCACCAAAATATTTGTTTTTGTGGACATTTTATTGACATCTCTAAATGGGCCTGCCAGAACCTCTTTCCTAAAACCATGAGTTTGTTAATATAGTTAAGTCATTTTTTTAGTGGATTCCAAATTCCTTGGTCATCATTCCATTGTCTATATCCTCCAATACCTTTTCTGGGCCTTGAGTATTGGCATCAGGTGCTCAGTCCTCCTGCCGTACCACTTGCTAAAGATGAACGGCCACTGACCTGTTAATGTCTTAACATAATAAGGGAAGTCATCAAGCCAAATTCATAACTCCAGGATTGACAGTAGCTCTAAGCACTGGGTTGATCAGGCTGGGACTCAAAGCAGAGATTAAGCCAAAACGGGATGAGGCACTACCCAGTCCTGAAAGAGTGGTGGTGACTTCGGAAATGAGCTGGGCCCTTCCTGTAGTGTAGATCACACAAAGTGTGGTGGATGCCTCTCACCTCTACCCCGCCCCCTCCCCACAAGGGTAGGAACAGCATTCTGAATTGGCCAGTGTCTAAGGCTGATTTAAAACTGCATGGTTGAGGGGAATGTGACCATTTCATTAAAATAAAGTATCACAGAGCTCTGAGATGGGTAATTGACAGTTTAATTACTGCCCAGTGCTCTGAATGTCAAAGTGAAGAAATAGAATAAATTTCAGGTAAACTGTGGGAATAACATTGATGCAGTTTAGAGATACAAGGAGTAACCTTAAGTCTGATTAGCTGTCTGATCTGGATGACCATGCAGACTAAAGCCCATTAACTAATGCCCAAGGCAGAGGGGATAAGAACTCGTATGGGGCCCAGATACAATTCCTCAATTCACCCTGGCTGGCAGTGTTAAAGTTATTAGGGGTTGTCACTGAGCCTAGAGTACCAGAAGATTGACCCTATGCCAAGTGGAAGTGTTCCTGGGCAGAGAGGGTGGCATATACAACGTGTGTGTGTGCGTGCGAGCGAGCATGCGTGCCCATTTCTATGTATGTTTGTATATTTTGTTACTTGTATATTCCATTAGTATGAATAAGTAAAATATTTGAATATAGATTCTACACAAATGCAAGTGCAAAGAAGACTTGTATATTGCATCCAGCTGGAGCTTGTGGTACACATACAGAAACAAGCTGATACAGTACACTGTGTATGAATACAGCTCACATGGCTAAGTAACATTTGTGAGGTCAATTCTGATCATATTCCAGTCGAAGATAAATCCATATTGAAATGGGGAATGCTCACAAAGCACGACTGACAAATACTTGAAATAAGAGCCCTTAAAAAGAAACCCACTGTTTGACAGTTCCTATGACTATAATGTTCTCATCTCTGTTTTGCATAAATATCTGGTTTGAAAGGATTTTCATGCTTCTCTTGACATAAGTTCACATACAGATTGGTGACAGTATGCAGTATGGAACCTTTAATAGGCCATTCCAAAGCAGACCATAATCAAAAATGGCAGGAGATTGTCAGAAAGGAAAACAAATCCTATATAAGAAGGTGGTTTATGCCTCCTAGAAATTGGTGTGTGGCATACAGAAAGTCAATCTGATGAGTTCTACCTCTCTGTTTTTGTTGCCAGACCTGACTATTAGCAGCATAAAAGCACCTGTGTGGTGTTGGGCTGCTGAGGCACACTTCTGCTGTATTGGAGAGACCATGAGACCAAAGGTCATCTCTGTCTCTCACTAGACTCATAGATTATGAGCCCTGAAGGGACCACCCTCTGCAGAGCACAGGCCATAGAACCGCCCCGAAATAATTCCTAGAGCCGATCTTTTAGAAAAACATCAAATTGTCTGTGATGGAGAATCCACCAGGACCCTTGGTTAATTGTACCTGTTATTTACTTTCATCATTAGAAATGTTTCAGAGTAACAGCTGTGTTAGTCTGTATTCGCAAAAAGAAAAGGAGTACTTGTGGCACCTTAGAGATTAACCAATTTATTTGAGCATAAGCTTTCGTGAGCTACAGCTCACTTCATTGGATGCATACTGTGGAAAGTGTAGAAGATCTTTTTATACACACAAAGCATGAAAAAATACCTCCCCCCACCCCACTCTCCTGCTGGTAATAGCTTATCTAAAGTGACCACTCTCCTTACAATGTGTATGATAATCAAGGTGGGCCATTTCCAGCACAAATCCAGGGTTTAACAAGAACGTCTGATGGGGAGGGGTAGGAAAAAACAAGGGGAAATAGGTTACCTTGCATAATGACTTAGCCACTCCCAGTCTCAATTCAAGCCTAAGTTAATTGTATCCAATTTGCAAATGAATTCCAATTCAACAGTTTCTCGCTGGAGTCTGGATTTGAAGCTTTTTGTTGTAATATCGCAACTTTCATGTCTGTAATCGCGTGACCAGAGAGATTGAAGTGTTCTCCGACTGCTTCATGAATGTTATAATTCTTGACATCTGATTTGTGTCCATTTATTCTTTTACGTAGAGACTGTCCAGTTTGACCAATGTACATGTAAGCCTCATTTCCAGTTTGTCTAGCTTCACTTCCAGCCCTCTGATCAGGTAATATCCTCTATTAGATTGAAAAGCCCATTATTAAATATTTGTTCCCCACGTAGTTATAGACTGTAATCAAGTCACCCGTTAACCTTCTTTGTTAGACTCAAAGAGCTCAATCTATTCAGTCTGTCACTATAAGGCAGGCTTTCTAGTCCTTTAATCGTTCTTGTGGCTCAACTATGAACTCTCTCCAATGTATCAATATCCTTCTTGAATTGTGAGCACCAGAAATGGACATAGTATTCCAGTAGCAGTCACTCCCATGCCAAATATAGAGGTAAAATAACCTCTGTTATGTGGTTTGTACCTCAGAGCAATTGGTGTATGGCATAGAAAAAAGTCATCTAGTCAATTCTGTCTCTTATAAACAGAATAAATTGTAAGACCTAGCCCTCAGCAGCATAGAAGGAGGCTGTGCATTAGGAGGCTACTTGGAGCAAGATTCTGAAGAGTTGTGAGACTAAAACCACCTTTGGTCTTAGTCTTCATTGGCCTAAGAAGCCTGACAATACTCAAATAACTCTCATGCCTGTGTGGCTTGTTGCTACTACAGTAAAGTTCATTGCTGGTGCCTCATTACCTTTGGTCTCCCTTTTCACTTCGCTTTTGCTGTTTTCTGCATCCACTTGCTGTACGTTGACGTGTATACTCTTTATGGCAGGGGTCATGTCTAGCACTATGGGACTACAATCTTCAGTGGGGCCTTGGGCTATTTATGATACAATAGTAATATAAATAACAGTGTAAGCCCCAGCTGGCTAACCAGAATCTGGGTTTGGGCAATCAACGCCCACAGTCAACTACGAATGTGCTGTTACTGTTGCAGATTCTAGGCATTTGATTGCCAATATAAGCTATAGGTTGTGAATCAAAATTGTATTGAGGGGGAATCGCCCATTCTATCTGAATTTGTTGAGGGTCGTAAAGGGTCACAGAGGAGCTCTAGTCCAGTGGTTCTCAAACTAGGGCCGCTGCTTGTTCAGGGAGAGCCCCTGGCAGGCCAGGCCGGTTTGTTTACTTGCCGCGACCACAGGTTCCGCTGATTGCGGCTCCCGCTGGCTGCAGTTCGCCGCTCCAGGCCAATGGGGGCTGCAGGAAGGGCAGCCAGCACATCCCTCGGCCTGTGCCGCTTCCCACAGCCCCCATTGGCCTGGAGTGGCGATCCGCGGACAGTGGATGCTGCGATCGGCGGAACCTGTGGTCGCGGCAGGTAAACAAACCAGCCTGGCCTGCCAGGGGCTTTCCCTGAACAAGTGGTGGCCCTAGTTTGAGAACCACTGCTCTGGTTAACATAAGTAAGGTGCATAAGTGGTTCATGCTAGCTTGTGGTATTTCTGATGTTGAGTTCCACTTCCAGAAAGCTATTTCCCATTGCTCTGAGATCCAAAGCAAAAGGGCTTTCCCTTCCAGTGTTTTGAATTAGATGTAGCATTAGGCTGGGTCTAAGTAGGCAACTGCGTAGCGCTCGCTATTTAGCATACTGGGTCAGTCTTGCTCACTTATCAACAGGCCTGTCCTAAATCACTTTGTTGTCCAAACAGTGTCTATCCACAAACCTCCCTTCTTACCCCCACCCCTCCACTGTTGCTTCACCTGTTACCTGGGGTTTCCCTGAACTCCATACTCTTGGTAACTTTACTCTTCGCGAGGTGATCCCAGGAAATAAATCCATGGGGACACGGCCTCAGGCCAATAAATAGTTGATGCAAACAAAAGTGCGTTCACTCAAAGCTTCTACATTATTTAGTCTCCAGCACTTGCACATGTCTGCAACAGGTTAGTAGGGCACCTCAAATTACCCCCAGATTCATATTTACCTAGGGTCTTGAGGAGGTCTCCAGCAGATAACTGCAGATGTCCAGTGGCCAACTTTCTGTCTGCAGGAGAAGTTGAGAGGCATTCAAATGTCCACTCAGCCCAGATTTCTTTCTTTTTTTTATACCTGATTTGTTAGTATTACATAGCTTCTGCTCAGCAGTTAAATATTTTTTTGATGAACAAGCTAAGTGTGGAATTTTCCAGTCTGTCAGGCAGGGAATTTCCCATCAGTTATCCAGTTGTATTTCACATAGCAATAGTTAACTATTGCCAGACTTTCCATCTTGCAAAACTGCATGCTTTGGAAAAAGCTCAAGTCAGGAGGGTGCAGGGTCATGTTTACTCTTCGTGGTCAATCACTCCCCCCTCCCCTCCTGGTCAGTTAGTTGTGCTAAGGCTTCAGAAAGGCCTCATTTTAGCTGCTTTCAGCAATAAGCATAATAGCTGGTATTCCAGCTGTGGGCAGTGGTTTAGGCATGTTACTGGGTTAACAAAAGTTTCTCCTTACACACCCAGCTGAGCAGAGACAGGAGCTGCCTTTGGGAGAAATGTTGAGAGAAGACTGTACAGTTTGATAAGCTGGGTGAGGGAAAGGGAGCAGAAAGCTCTTTTGAGGAGGGGGATGCTGAATACCATCTTTCCTCCTTTGTACCTACGGTTGGCCTTGTTTTGACCCAGGCCATAGCTGCCTTTCAGCATGCTGAAATTAATTCAGTAATTTGGTGGAGCAAGTGTATAGATGGGATCATCTCCCCATACCCCTTGGTCTAAAGAACAACTGCATTCCAAGAGCAATGGAAGCAGATGTAGTAACTGAGCAGAATAGCTCCCTATTGCTCTGTCACATGACATTTGCCTACCATGAAATTATTGCATTGCAACATGTATGTTTTAGATGACTGATTCCTAAATTGAAAAGCTATTAGGACGCTTATTATCCAGCTTGCCATTTTGAATATAATTGATGCTACTGATCAGGCTCTTGTTGACTTCTATTTTATGTTGAGAGAGAGAATATCCTACATCATCTTACGTTGGCCCTATGTGCACACTTATACCATGTTTCCTCCACTGACATTTGTGCAGCCCCCTTGGATTCAGTGGAGTTGCATGAAACAGAAAACTTTGGCTCACTGAGTATAATAAAGTAGGACTCCTTTTTTTTTTAATTTCCAAAGTTCATTAATTAGTCAAATTCAGCAAACACGCTTTTATCTATTGTATGTGTCACGTAAGATTCAGAGTAAGTAAAGGAAAAGTACATTGTTACTTCCAATTCAGCCTAGTACCCATAAAACCTTTATGTAGTTGATGGTTAGAAATAATTGAAATAATAAGAATGGCCATACTGGGTCAGACCATCTAGCCTAGTATCCTGTTATCTGACAGTGGCCAATGCCAGGTGCTTCAGAGGGAATGAACAGAACAGGTAATCATCAAGTGAGCCATCTCCTGTTGCCTATTCCCAGCTTCTGGCCAACAGAGGTTAGGGACACCATCCCTGCCCATCCTGGCTAACAGTCATTGATGGACCTATCCTCCATGAATTCATCTAGTTCTTTTTTGAACCCTGTTATAGTCTTGGCCTGTGTGTTGTGTGAAAAATACTTCCTTTTGTTTGTTTTTTAAACCTGCTGCCTATTAATTTCATTTGGTACTTCTTCATTGTTGTGTTATGAGAAGGAGTAAATAACACTTCCTTATTTACTTTCTCCACATCAGTCATGATTTTGTAGACCTCTATCATATCCTCCCTTAGCCATCTCTTTTCCAAGCTGAAAAGTCGCAGTCTTGTTAATTGCTCCTCATATGGAAGCTATTCCATATCCCAAATCATTTTGTTGCCCTTTTCTGTATCTTTGTATCATGGTTGTCCTTGCCTAGAAAGGCAGATGGAAATTTAATTAATGTTTGTGAGATGTTCAGATACTATGGTGATGAACATCACAGCAAAGCTTATAAGTAAAAAACAAAATGAGGAGATGTGGTTAGTTAGCAAAAGAGCCCTTACTGCCATGGAAACAACTCCACCCCGAAAACATGATGAATGGATATCCTTTTGCCGCTTTTGCTTTCCCTCTCTCCTACTATATTTGTATGATTTTAATCAAGTGTACATAAAATACTGATCTAAATTTTGATGTGAAGTGAAGCTGATTACTGGTTACTAGTAAAACATGAGAAGGGAAGTTGATTTTGCTATTGCCACAGGAGAATATATCCACTTTGTTTTCATGGTACAGCACACAGTGTTATCTTTTGATAGGTAAAGTAGGAATGATCTTATCTTTAAAATAACAGTGGATTGGGAACTAGGACACAGAAATCTGGTAATCAGAACAGTCTTAAAATAGAGCTTTTTGAAAAAAAAGCCCTATATATTTGGACTCGTTTGGACATAGCCTCTTGTTATTGCTTAAAATACGTATTTTAAGTTGCTAGAGTGTCTTTAACAGGAGCATTTGTTAAAGCTCTGCTGTTACCTCAGACTTTAAACATCCCCATATATCATAGCAACGACTCTTTAAACTACTGTCTCTATTCACTGATGTGGTGATTTAAGAGTTTAGCTATCCTTTCTGTATTTTAGTCAGGGCACATCTCCCAAATATTTGGAGAAGGCAAATCCTTAATGTCAAACATTCTTCTAGTTTAACAGAATAATTTAATGGCTCTTTTTCTGTATTTGTTGTTCACTCCCTTAGCTCTCTGTAAATGCTTATTCTGATTTAAAAATCAGCTTATGTTTGTAACAAATTTCTATTGATCACAGTATTGAATAATTTCTTCTACAGTGGCAGGGCTAACGCTTACATTTATTTTGGCACATATTTTCAGTATTTACCCTCCCTGCTGTGCAAATATACAGAGAGCTGCTGTGGAGGAAGATCCCAGTTTTCATATGCATGTGTTTGAAAAATGTCAGATCCCAACCAGTGGAAATACCATTAGGAAGTGTTTGCTGAGGTAACTGATAAAGGCAGAATGGTCTCTGTAAGATATTAGTATGCAAGTCTGGTAGAACATACAGGCAAAATGGACTAAACATTGCAATAGTGTTAGAAATCACCACTGTTAGGTTTCTTGCCCAGGGGCTAATAATTATTGTGGAAGGTGACGAAGCGCAGTTTGTTGATACAAAGTATTTGTGGGTCCCCCTAATTTCCTAGTGAATGGAATAGCATTTAAAGAAATCCCCTTTTAGTGCATCAGTGTGGCATATTGAACAGGTCGGTGATCCAGAGCACAGTAGCTCTGTTTTCCAAAATCAGAGTGTCCAATTCTTCCCCATCCTCTTGGGCTCCCAGTCGCTTCTGTCTGATCCCTCTGTCTTGCTGCTGCTGCCTGACTGCATGCTGGCTGCTTTCTGGCATTGTTGCCTCCCCCATGGCTTTTAATAAACAACTTTCCTTACAAAGTCCCTACCAATTCGAGCCTCGCTGCTTCATTTCCACCATATATCTAGCCCTGACTTGTTTTTTATTTCCGTCCCACAACGGCTAGTTCTGAAACTCACTACGATGCCAAGCTTAAGAAAAAGGAGTGAGACGTTTTCCCTTTAGAACAATTGATTGACACACTTGCATGTTAATAATCATGACAAATTAGAACATTGACTTGATTTACTTACCCCCGCCCCCTCCCCTTTTATTTTTTGATAGTGCTCTGTTCGTCTTCGGTTACTTTTACGTTTTAAGGGCCTGAGCCAAAGCCTACTGAAGTCTGTGGTAGTCTTTTACTTCAACGATGTTTTTTTGTATTCGGCCATACGTGAGGTACAAAAGGTACGAGTCGCTTGAAATTCAGTTATTTTTCAGCTTTACTGGGAAGTGATGGGTCTAGTGCTTTTTAATGTCTCCAGGCCAGGATGCCTCATGATGGAAATTTCTATTCAGTGGTGGCATCCAGGAAGCTGCTAGATTTCCTATGCATCCTTTTGATTCATCCTCTTGAGAGCCAAGTAGGGAGGTCTTTGAGCATAAGGAGCTTTTTTGAGGCCTTTGTTCTGGAGTTTGCCAGATAGGGAACAAGAGAGTTTGGAGCCATATATTTTGGAATGAGAATTTCTCTGGAAGCAGGGTTTTGAATAGCATGGCGTTTGTGATTGGCTTGTATCCATTCACCTGTTTCACAGTGACTGTGATCCTCTACCATGATTTTCCATGATTAGTAGTAAATATTTTCAAGCTTTATCTTGTTCTTTATTTGTAACCATGGAAGGCAGGCTTCCCTATTTATTTTCTTGTTTGTACATATTTATTTGTAAATTATGGAGCAAAGATAACATGACTTATTGCAGAGTTTTTCTATCACTACCAAAAATTCTCTGCTGCTGTCCAAAATCCATGGAAGACTTTACCTTTATGAGAAAGAGATGGGCTTGTGTTTGAGGGCAGCTAAAAGGAGAAGGAGTTTACCTATTACAACTGGCTGATATAAGCTGACATGTGATATGTTCTGTTAGATACAAATAGTTTTAAAAAATGCTGGTTAGAGCTCCTTATCTTTTAACCAAGTAATAACAGAATGTGGTGAAGCAATAGCCCTGTGATAGCAGTGGGCCAGATTCTGCAGCCTGTTACTTAGTTAATGGGAGCTTGCAATGAAAAAAGAGCTGCATGTTTTGTCAGTCCTAGTACTAGGAAGGGGTGAACCCATTTGGATAAGACAACATTTAACTTGAATCTTTGAAAGTCTGAACTGAACACTGAACACACATTTAAAGTTCAAAAAGAGATTTTAAAAAATCAAAGCATTTATGTTTGGAGTGACCAACATTTCCCAACAGAAACTTAGTGTTTGCCTCAGTATTTCTGACCTGATCGAAACCAGGAAATCTGTAAATCTCCCAAGATTTCAAGAGCAAAACAATATGGATAAACTTCAGTTTAGCATCTGCACTATTATTGGGTGTTCAAGTGAACTAACAGGAAGCTCCACATATGCAGAGCATCTCCCAAAATGTAGAATTCAGTTTCCTAACATCATCCATAGAATATTAGGGGAATGGATGCAAGATTAGTAGCAAAACTGTCCTTTTTTTGAGTGTGCGAACATGTTTAACAGTTCATATTACAGGAACAAAGTA